TGTCATTTTAAATAGTCCCCACCCAGTGTCATTGGACATAAAGACAACTGGGTACAAGTAGCTTCTAAACATGCCAGTTATTTGCCTTTTATTGTATGTAGTACCCTGAGTGTTTTTTAGCTTCGTCCGAAGCGTAGCAGTACCAGACTATAACGCTCTACCTAGAGTTTAATTTATATGGAAGAAGAGACAGCACGAGAATGACATGTATATAAGGCAATTGACCTTTTACTTGACGAAATTTTCATTCAAGGTTAATTATCAAAAGATTAACTCACCCAACTTTCAAATAGTTATCACAGAAAAAAAAATCAGAAATGTAAGTATTAACATTTAAGCACTAAAATAACCAATTTCTTTACAGTTTTACATTTTGAAATATCGGACCAACACGAGGCACCTCTGCTTTTTTATGCTTTTAAACTTTTCTACATCTTATTAATGGGACACGGCGTCGAGTTTCTCTTTGTTGTATTGATCGTATTTTGTTCGTCATTTTATTGCTTTAAATATATTGTATATTGTATATTGTATATTGCATATATTAGCAAAGAAACAACAAAATGAAAAAGTTTACATTTCAATTTGAAACATTATAATAAATTTGAATAATGCAGTAGATTGAATGCATACATTATATAATCAGGATTTGTTCCATACAAACATATTTCTTACTAACGTTCTGAGAGAAATAAAACTTCTGCAATGATCTATGCTACATTCATAAACCAATCAATCGTATAGAAGTACATGTCATTTTCTCAATTACGATAATTTTGAAACTTAACATGTTTAACAAGATGTTTTTGTGAAACACTATGCGCCCGGCGGCAACAAAGTTAAAAAACATATTTTTAGCATATAGGTCGTAGTCAAGGTCACAAAGTCATTGGTCATTGTCATTTGAAAGAACTTGATAAGTGAAGTATGCATACCAAATATGAAGTCTCTATCTTTTGTGGTTCAAAAGTTATAATGAAGGTTCAAAAAAGCTAATTTTAGCATATAGGACACAGTCAAGGTCACAAGGCCATTGACCATGGTATCATGTAAAAGGGCTTAATTAGTGGAGTATGCATGCCAAATATTAAGTCTCTATCTTTTGTGGTTCAAAAGTTATGGCGAAGGTTAAAGTTTGCTGGAAAAAACTATATCAAGCATATAGGTCACAGTCAAGGTCACAAGGTCATTGACCTTGATGTCATTTGAAAGAGTTTAATTAGTGGAGTATGCATACCAAATATGAAGTCTCTTTCTTTCATGGTTCAAAAGTTATGACGAAGGTTAAAGCTTGCAGATAAACAGATAAATAGACAAACAGACAGGACAAAAACAGTATACGCCTCATATCTTTCGATCCAGGCGCATAAAAAACATAAAAATAATGAAAAAGATGTTTTGAACCTCCTTAAGAAAATAATAGGTGAATTTTTATACAAGCTTACAAATTTGTTTTTAGTACTTATCTCTAAAAGCAAGCAATAAACAATATTGATAACAATATAATTATGTATTATGGAGATTGATTATCACAGACAAAAGACAAAAACAAGAGGCCCTAGGGCCACATCGCTCACCCGATCAATTTGCTGGGAAAAAGCACATATCAGTTTAGAAATGCAAGTTTACCGAGTTGGGGGGGGGGCTTGAATTTAACCTCCCAGGGGTTCATGGTTTGAACAAACTAGAATCTACACTACCTGAGGATGATTCTAAAGATTTTTCCTATATATTCCTATGTAAAACTTTGATCGGCCATTTTGGCCCCACCCTAGCCCCAGGGGTCATGATTTGAACAAACTTGAATCTACACTACCTGAGGATGATTCCACATGAGTTTCATCTTTCCTGGCCCAGTTGTTCTTGAGAAGAAGATTTTTTAAAATTGCTATTAATTTTTTTCTAATTCATAATTATTTTCCCTTGGAAAAGGGCGAGGCCCTTCATTTGAACAAACTTGAATCCCCTTTACCCAAGAATACTTTGTAGCAAGCTTGGTAAAAATTGGCCCAGTGGTTCTTGAGAAGAAGATGAAAATGTGAAAAGTTTACAACGACGACGACGACAACAACGACAACGACGACAACAGACAACGGACAAATTTTGATCAGAAAAGCTCACTTGAGCCTTTGGCTCAGGTGAGCTAAAAAGGAAACATTTGATCTTTTTTTTTTATATAGATCTGATTTTAGACATTAATATTTATACACATAAAAATTATTATGAATCACCAAAAATTTTGATTAAATTATATGATACACTTAAGTGTAAATAATCACATCAAAATCAACTAATTTTTAAAAATTGCATCTTTACGTAGTGTATATAATGTTAACGTTAAAAAAATATGAAACATGAGTATCAAAAAAATTCTCAAAACATTACTATTATATCAGATTAATTAAAGACAATAAAAACAAGAGGCCCAGGGGCCACATCGCTCACCTGATCACATCGGCTAGGAAAAAGCATAAATCAGATCAGAACTGAAAAAGTATACTAAGGTAGGGGGGAGCTTGAATTTTAATACTACTTGAGAATGCCTTCATATCAATACAGCATATGACTGTTGTTCTTGTTAAACAGATTTTTAAAAACATTTTGTCCCTATATATTACTTTGTAATAATTTGAATTTGATTCCCCATTGTTTCCCTCCCTACCTCAAAGGGCCATGATTTATAATACTACTTGAGAATGTCTTCATATCAATACAGCATATAACTGCTGTTCTTGATAAAAAGATTTTTTAAAAACATTTTGTTCCTATATATTACTTCTTAATAATTTGAATTTGAATCCCCACTATTTCCCTCTCTACCCGAAAGGCCAATGATTTAAACAAATTTAATTCTTCATTGCCTGAAAATGCTTTCATACAAATACTAGTATCACTAATCATGGCTTTGTTATTCTTGAGAAGATTTTAATTTTTAATGTAAAACTTTGATCCCCTAATGTGGCCCCGCCCTATCCCTGGGGGTTATGATTTTAACAAACTAGAATCTACACAACCTGAGAATGATTCCATATAAATATCACTAATCATGGCTTTAAAGTACTTAAGAAGATTTCCCTATGTATTCCTGTGTAAAACTTTGATAAGGCATTTTGGACCCACCCTACCCCAGGGGGTCATGATTTGAAAAAAATGAATCTACACTACCAGAGGATGATTCTAAATGAGTTTCATCTTTCCTGCCCCAGTGGTTCTTGAGAATAAGATTTTTTTTAAATGCCATTATTTTTCACTAATTTATAATTATCTCCCTATGAAAGAGGGTGTGGAAATTCATTTGAACAAACTTGAATCCCCTTCAACTAAGGATACTTTGTGGCAAGTTTGGTTGAAATTGGCTCAGTGGTTCTTGAGAAGAAGATAAAAATGTGAAAAGTTAACGACGACGACGACCACAGACAACGGACAAGTTTTGATCAGAAAAGCTAAATGAGCCTTCGGCTCAGGTGAGCTAAAAAGTAAGTACTTGTAAGTATCAAAATGTTTGATAAACAATTTATCAAAGAATGATAATTTATATATTATCATGCATAATGTAAATAATGCAATGTAGTATCCCACCAATATTGCAGCTGTAATCAAATAGACGACGATACATGAACCTATTCTGATTGAGATGGGTTTTTTTTTTTTTTTTTTTTTTTTTTTGTTGTTGTTTATGAAATTAAAGCAATATGAGCTGCAACTTTGGTGTCGGATTTTTTAAGATTTTAAGTATTTTTAGTATTTTAAGAACAGGGAAAAAACATTTATAATCTTCTGTAAATTATATTTACGATAGTAGAACGTTTTATAAGCTGTGATTGAGACAAAATTACATTATTGTCATCCTGTACAATATCGATTTCTAAATTAATGCTCTATATTTGATTTTACAGGTCTTTCTTCCAAAAAAATCAATACTGTATTTTTTTTTAATACTTCGTTTAAATCTAATGAAACAAATAAGTTTAAATTACAAACAAATTTATCATTATAACACATTTTAACAGCAACATAAAAATCTCAAAAATGCAGCTCATATTGCTTTCAAATAGTTTTATAATATGTTCTGTATATATCTGTTAATATGTTACAGTATATAATAGGCAAAGTAATATTTTTTCTATCTAAAGAACTAGAAAACAATTATTCTCGGGACACTATTATGGGTAAAATTATTTGTAATAATAATGGCACTGTATAATTAACTTTTTTGTACTGGCACGGTATGATTTACTTTCAGTATACCATTTTAAAGCTATTGTTGAGAATACTTAACAAACAAGATTAGCTGTCCTTCTTGAAAAAAAAAATCATTCCGAAATTGCAGAAATTGAAACCTCAGATCTTGTATGAGGGTCAAGAAAAAGAAACATATAACATCAATTAAGGAAAAATTATTCCAAAATTGCAAAAAAAAAAAAATAAATAAATAAATAAATAAAATAAAATAAACCACAGATCTAGTTTGAAGGTCAAGAAAAAATAGCCCTCCACTTTTTTTGCAAAGATAGACATAATACAGGCATTGAAAATAGGATTTACCTTTTTGTTGGTTTAGCTGCCCCCTTTCAATTATCCACCTCACTTTCAATTTGCTTCCGACGCCTATGTAATTAAAATGCAATTTAAAAACTTCAAAAATTGTATCAATACATGGTAGCAAACAATATGTGAGTAATTATAAATCACTCCTCACATAGAAGAACTCAAATATTTTTGGACATAAAGGGTTTTGGTAATAAATTTTCGTCAGCTTTGTATCATTGATTTGCATAAATGTCATTTTCATCAAAGTTTTCATAGTCCGAATCATCTGATACCCCCTCTTGTGTACAGTACACAAATTGAATGTGCAGATGTAGTGAAATCTACCGGATGCTGGGATTGTCATTTTCAATTGGATGGACAGAGGAATCAGTTTGGAATATTGGGTTTTCTTTGTGTACATGGGGTAAAGGTAAATCAATGTTAGGTGTCATAATACTTCGAAATGGTTGTTAGTCCAACATATTCATTTTTGAGTAAAGGATGGTTTCATTATCGTAATCTGGAATTTCACTATAGGTGTTTGTTTCTTCGGTTCGAGCATCAAACCCTCCTGATTGAGAAAACAGTACATGATTTGGAACGTCTTCTAATTTTCCAAAAGACTGATCACCACGTGTATGAGCACGCTCAATTCCTCTCTTTTGCTTTAATTCTAAAGATTCTTTTCTCGCTGAGGATTGGGTGCCATTTGATGCATTTGTATCTAGAATCATTTCTTCGGAGATTCTTTCATCATTATAATATCTGTTCTTCTCTGATGACAGTGCTCCACTACATAAAACTGTAGGCTGATGTTTCTCTACATAAATATAATCTTCGTCACTTTCTCCACTACTAGCTCTTTTGTCTGAGATCGCATCTTGATAAGCTTGGATTTCAAAACTGTCATACGTATCGACCTCCGTGTCTTTCTTTCTTTCATTGATTTCTGTAATCCTGTAATTTTTCAAAAGAATTTTTTCTGTTATTTTACTGAAATTCGATTTAGAATGAGGGAAAAAAAGAAGGGACTCCTGTGCCACCTATGATCTCAAATGAGAAGCATAACAGTTCAGAAAGCAGAGTCTTTAGTGTGTTTGGATCAAAAATCTGTTTCATTGTTGATGCTATGAATCGTGAATGTTTCAAGAAATATTTTAAGTGATTCTCGATAATATTATGAGAGTTCTTTAGGTATGCCAAAATTACAAGCAGTAGCATGTCAGCGAGAAGAAAAAATACAGTTATACCCAAGCAAAAACCATATTTTAGCTCAGAGAATTTTAGTTACGTTACTGCCACATGCACAAAAGTGATTAATAATATTAATGTATAAGTTAAGTTTTATAAGAAGAGCAATGCAACCGTTGAACAATAAACTGTATTAAGTCAAAGGTTGTGCAAGAGGCTTACACTTTAACTAGGACTTGGATACCGTGTGGCTTTGAACCAGTGAATTACTCGAGATTTAAAAGGTCAAACAATTTTTAAATACCAATAAGAAATTGAAGACGGCAGTAAAGTTTATTGTTTTGATTTCCAGTATGAATTGAGTGCTTCTCATGATCTTACTTTCTTGCTATGATGCTCTCAATATCTGCGGCTGACGGTCGACTGGTTCTGTCCTGGTCAAAGCATGGCTTCATCACTTTCTCGTATAACCATTCCGGACAGGCAGGTGGCCGATCAGGAAAATGACCGTCATTTAAATGGCTTAATATCTACGTTTTTGAAATATATATATATATATATATATATATATATATATATATATATATATATATATATATATATATATATATATATATATATATATATATATATATATATTTATTTATTCTTGCAAAAAAAATGTCATTAATTACATGCTATTCTCATATTGAGAAATAGTTTGTCCACTTACGAGTGCGCAAAAATATTCATTCATGAAATTATAATGAAAAACCTGAGCATTTAAAATGAATTCAGTGTAAATCTTTGATAAATAATTAATTTCACTACACGCTTAACCATATAAATCAAAGATCATATGATGTACATGTTAGTTATAAAGTAATCAGTGTGAGAGTTGAATGTTTTTAATTACATTAACTTTAAGTACTGTGGAAACATTTAAAACACCCTTTATTAAAAAATTTCTAACTCAATTATAATCGAATTATATGTACTTTCTCAATAATCATATTTTAATGAATATCAAAGAAAATGTACTTGAGATCTGTGTTTGTAGGAAAAGGGTACAGATTGTAGCTGATCATTTCCAGAGACCGCCATGTAAAACTCGTAAAACAGCATGGCCATTGTATAAACGTCACTTCCTGTGGAAATTTCACCGTGACCAATCACCTCCTTTGGAAGCCTATTATTGTTAAATGCAGACGTATTTGAAAATTGTGTAGACATAACCTGTGGTACATGTAGAAGATAATCAACATGAACATGCTGCTTTTCTACACTAGCATTCTGTAAAATTGCATATTTTTGTGGGTCAAATTTTCAAGATTTTCAAGATTTGTGGGGAACACTTTTTTCTTATATAGTTGTTGATAAGTACTAATGGATAAGAAATTTTATATTTCGTGGTCATGAATTCGTGGGTCTATCTCCCTTTACCTCGAAAACCCCCACAAAAAAGTGAAGTGATTTGTCAAAATTCATATACATAATATGCTAAAAGAATATAAAGTTAGCGTAAATAGTAATTGTTGTAATAAAATTCAAAATGTTCAATGTTTTAGTATGCATACTAAAGCTTGGTATGGGATATTTTCACGAATTTTGGTTGAATTTTTACGAAGACACCTTGAACCAATGACACCTCGGCCCAAAGACATCTCGGTCCCTCTGATGATACCGTAAAAACCGAGGTCCCGTGTCGCAGTTAATGTGATGGCTCCAAAAAGATCCCTCCCTGCTCAATGGTCTTGAGTGCCAAGCAAAGGTAAAAATTTGCAGCTCACCTACAAGCGGTGGCGTTTCTATATGATTGAAAAGTTCTCGATAGGGACGTTGTTCGACAAACAAACATTTAAAAAATATACCCAGTATATATCCACCTATAAAACTTTAAAATCAGGGCATGTTTTTTTTTTCGAAATGCTCCACATGGTGTTTGCTTATACGTTAAACCTGACCGTGAAAAGACATATCTTACTGATTGTACACTATGATTTTAAAACAATAGACTTTGACAACAATATAAAAAAGTAAAGAGTATTAGGATCATTGTTTACTCACTCTCAGTAAATCATAGGGTATATTAGTGTTTCTTTAAATAATTTTGCAAAGAGAGAGAGCGTTTTGGCCTAAATGTGACTTATTAGTGATTCATTTTCTTATTTTCACAACGAAAATAAAACGTATGTATTAACATATCGATTTTATTTTATTTTAAATTAAAATACAGTATTTTTGATGAGCAAGTAATTGTAATTGATCTGAAATATAGAGAAATATCTTTATACACACCAGTGCATAATATCTTCCAGTTTTCTAGCACACTTTATGCTATCCTCTCCAGATGGTAGTCTCAACATCCGTCCTATTCGTAATTGACAAGCCTAAAATATTTTTAGAAGTACAATGAATATTTGGAATTTTTGTATCAGATGACTACTACCAAAATTTTCTGTATAAAACATGATACAGTTGAAAACGTATATATACCCTAGTAATATAAATGGAATTTAATGATGGGCTTTTGACATTTATGTTGATGAAACAAGAATATCAACAGTCTCATTAAAGTTATAATCTTGCTTTATGAATGATACAATGACCTTATCAGCAAATACGATTTATCGTATCTATCGTAAATTGTATGCTAACTGGTGTTTTTCATAGTTGATAAATGAACCAAGAATCGGACTGCGGTTGCGACCGATCGACAGGGAGCTTACTCTTCCATGGCACCTTATCCATCGGCTTGTATTATTTCGATGGACTTTTCTAAACTTGTTTACTGTTTTTTATATTTATATTTCATTTAACAAATGTACACGTTTCTTTCAAGCAAAAGTTCAATTTCTAAAAATCAAATTCTTTATTCTATAAAAATAATAATTCTCCAACAAAGTGTACACAATTATGTGGTGGGTAAGGTTGTGATAACAAATTCTCTAAGACAAAACTACCTTAAAATCTTTTTCTTCTTGAATATATATGCTCTTTCCAGTTAAATCGACCAATAGCCAACGTTTTTCGTGCATCCTTTTCACCAAACACGCGACTTGATGTACAATACGGAGGTGATAATTTTCCTCTCCCTGTGAGTCAGAGACGTATACAGAAACTAAATCCATGATGTTCTTAGCTGCTGGGAAACTGTATTTCTATAAGAACAATTTGGTAGGTGTTTTAAGATCGACTACATGTATATTCGTTAATGACGAATATTTGCCCCCGAAATCAAACTTTGGGAAAATGACATAAATTTAAAAAAATATGATTTCTACAGAAAAAAAGTATATTACGTCGATTGTATCTCAAATGGAGAACTACTATAGGCCGTTGGCCTGTTGTTCAATCCATGTTCATTGTTTACTTCTTTGTATATTATGAATAAAATACTTCTTAAACTAAACTATATTACGTCGATATTTTTAGTGAATGTCTTCAGCACAGGTCTACTCCAGCTTAATATTTTGATATAATACGTAGTATGATTAGATCAATGAAATATATACTAGTATAGAGCAGGCCTGCTCTCTATTAATATTTTAGTAGAAGTTGAGCAAATTTTCCCAATTTTTTTTTCTCTTTCTAAAAAATCATAAAAAATCCGAATAGTTTGTGCTTCATAAAAACAAAACTTGTCAATACCCTGCTTTGAAACTGTAAATTCATCGTTAATTTTTTCGTACAATATATACAACTCGGCACATTTCAAGAAATTTCAAAATATGTTTTTTGTGGAGGCAAAATTATACCGCATATTGTCCTTTAAAAAATACTTTTTGCTTTGAAACCTTGAAATCTATGGAACGCCAAATTAACATATATTCAAATATTTGTACCTGTCTTCAAATAATTGTACCTATCTTCAATTGAATTGTACCTATCTTTAAATCAATTGTACCTATCTTCAAATGAATTAGAGATAGGTACAATTCAATTATACCTATCTTTCATCATTTGAAGATAGGTACAATTGTTTTACAGATAGGTACAAATGCAATGAATTGAAGATAGGTATAATTGATTTAAAGATAGGTACAATTGAAATTAACCTATCTTTTATTACTAAGATATTGGCAATAACAACTACTCCCTTTATCGTACGTCATTTCCGATACGTCACAGCTGGCGCGAAAGTTTATCGGAATCTTCATCTGGCTGCAATACAAGATATACCTACATGATATACATGTGTATTTTTATAAGTATATGATGCTTTTTGCACATTTTGAATTTATCTTTATTTCTCCTTTCATCTTTGTTGTCGTCGCTCTGTAGGTTCTGTGCGTTTCCTCCACGCTCAATATTGTCTCCAAGGGAGCGTTCATATTTACCAACAACATAAAACGAATTGAACCTAGGTATAATTGAATTTGTACCTATCTTCAAATCCTTTGTGGATATGTCTTAATTGAACCTATCTTCAAATCAATTGTACCTATTTTTAAATCAATTATTCCTAGCTTCAAATGTATTAGAGATAGGTATAATTCAATTGAACCTATCTTTAATTGAATTGAAGATAGGTGTAATTCCATTAAAGATAGGTATAATTTATTTGTACCTAGGTATGATTATTTAGAGATATTAGGTATAATTATTTATACCTATCTTCAATTTAATTGTACCTATCTTTAATTCAGTTGTACCTGTCTTTAATTCAATTGTACCTAGCTTCAATTCATTTGAAGATAGGTACAATTATTTGAAGATAGGTACAAATATTTCAATATATGTTAATTTTGCCTTCCATAGAAATCCCTTAAATCAAGTTGAATCCCTTACCAATATTACTTTGACTCCCTGGGTGGTAAAGGACTGCTTCACTGGTGGCCAATGTATGCACATTTTCTCTCCAAATCTGGACTCATTTTTGGGAATATTTTGTCATGAAAGTCGACAGTTACTTCTTCCTCTACTTCAAGTTCAAATCTCTACAATTGCAGCATTTTCATTCTTAGAACAACTACAGCTATTCAATTATTCTAAAATTCTAATATTATTCTTTTTTTTTTTTATATTGTATTATTTTATAATTTAATTTTCTTTGTATTCTCGCCTCTCATTGGTTGATTTCAAAAAGGAACGCAATTATTTTGTATAATCTGGTTTGGTATGGGGACATACCCCCTTGACGACCAGCTTAATCATCTTATCCATGTAATTCCCTCATTTCCAGTCCTCGGAATCCATGGAAAATTCCAGATTTAATAAATGTACCTTTAACTTCAAACCTCATGTAAACAAACATCATGGCTGCTCTAGATCTATATGTCAGTAATTACCCCCCCCCCCTCGCTTTAAATCACTTCCGTTACTACGGTTGTATTATGCAGTAAATTATAAGGAATGGCTCCAATTCTTGGCCATATTATCGAGTATAATCTGGTTTGGGTCAGTTTACGCTTAATAATCCGCAAAGCGGATTATAAAAAAAGCGTAACTACAATCTGACCCAAACCAGATTATACTCGATAATATGGCCAAGAATTTGGGTCATTCCTTTAATAAAATGAAATTATTAATATGATCAAAAGGTTAATTTTAAAAAAAAAAAGATTATTTATGAATAAAAGAATATGGTGAATCTTTTCCAACCTTTGAAATTTTGTAAGAAATAAATGTTTTTAAATACTATAATTAATTCAACATTTTTAGCTAAGAATAATGCAGTTATTTTACTTAAAATAACACAGAGCCCTAATTGCAACTGTTGTCATACGTTTGTAAGCACTGAAAATGTATTCATACATTGTAAGAAACAATCTATATCTCTTGAAAAGTGTATCAGATATTAAACTTACAACACAAAATAAATATATTTGACGTAACATTTCGAGCGCGATATGCATTAACTGTTACCTTTATGTTAATTTTTGGTTCATCTCCAGACAGAAGATCCCCTTTACCCAAAGCCAGGGGACGAGGTGCGTAGTCGGGATTAGGACTTTTTGGAACACGCATTTTTATTTCAAAGTAGCTTTTTCTTTTATCTCCTAATAATTAAGAATTACAATTTCATATTGTGAAGGGATAAAAAATACACGTATTTCATTTCATCATTAAACATTTATCTTACTTCCTTTCATTTCTTTCATTCTCTTCACAACCAGTGGAATTCCCTGTAAATAAGAAGAAATTACGTATCAGAGATGGACATTTAGAAATGGGAGATCATACTAAAAATCTTTGCAAGAAAAAAGAAATGTTTGGAAATCTCTCTCTCTCTCTCTCTCTCTCTCTCTCTCTCTCTCTCTCTCTCTCTCTCTCTTACCCTCTCGGGTTTATGTTGTCTTCCAGTTTGCTGATCTGAGATTTTGGGTAACCCATGCTCACAATCTGCAAGGAACACTTAAAGAAAGGTCTTTGGTGAGAACTTAGCTCTTCAGGTGAAAGACAAAAACCATTACATAAAACAGCCTCTTCAAAAGTTCATTGAAGAAATATTTTATCCATTCCATTACATCTCATTAGCGCGTTTTATCCTTTTTTATGCCATTTGTTTTATTTTACAATGTACTTGCCTTTTTTTTTAAATTTTACTTTTCGCAAGTTTGAAATTTATTTGTACAGTTTCTTGTTTTAGATAATCAATGAAATAATTAAAATTCTTACAAGATTTCTCAACACGATCTTGTTTCTTTCTTATCTCTTTCAATCGTTCACAGATTATATCAATGCTTGTTCTTTTTCCTTTGTCAAAGCGCAGACAGTCGGCGGCTAGTTTGTGGTAAGGCAGAGGAACACAAGGCCATTTATAAGGTTTCAGTCCACAGGAGACGACTTTCGCCATGATGTCATCTGTTGTCTCACTGTACAACTCTGTATATGGCTCACAGCCGTAAGTGAACAGTGAGTGGATGACGTGACCAATCATCCAAATATCAGTATAAACATCGTATTTATCTTCCCAAAGTGATTCTGGGGCTGACCATCTGGTGGGAATGTTCTCTCCATGAATATCTGATTAAATAAATGACATAATTTTAACAGACACCCCATGATAACCTTCTTGGTTTTGGACAACATAAGAACGATTTTTTTTCTTAAAAACCATACACACACACGGGGTCACGAAACGTTAATTACCTACCCGCTATATGTCCCGTTTTGGCTGATACTTCGTCGTCGTTAGAGCAGGCCATTTGAAGACTACAGAGGACAGCTCTTTCGTGTCCAGGAGATGGATATTCCATTATTGCAAATGAGTTAATGGTAATATCCCTGTGTATTATTTTCTTCTGATGAAGAAAATTAATGGCACCTCCAACGTCCAACAGTCGTTCATTCATCCAATCGTCTGAAAGGAATTCATTATACTTTCGTGCATGCAAAAGTTTATCGACCAGGAATGTCTGAAACCTTTCAATAACGTAAAACGATAACGGACTTGGGTTAGGGTTGAATGCCCACAATTTCACAATATTAGCAGTTTTGCCTCCATGTATTGACCTCAATACATCAAATTCATTCACTAACTGGTTACTTTCGATCGAATTCTTACAATTCTGAATTTGAATACCCGATATTCCAGGTACTTTTATTGCTATACGCACAAAGTTTTTAAACAATCGACCTCCGGATACCATCCAATGAGACTGATCTGACAGTTTTGGAAGATTCCTTCGATCTTGGTTATGAACGACTAACCCTGGAATTGATTTTGCAATATAGGACTCGGCTATCTGAATCATCGTTCCCTCGGAGAGATTCAAGCTAGAAATAAATGGCTGCGCTACTGTAGCGTTTACGGACAACAGAAAATCAGACATTTCTTCAGGGAGTTGTTGGCCACGTGCAAAAACATCAATGATTTTGTGAAAACTTTCCGTTTCTATCTGAGAAACTAAAAACAAAATAGACTTATTACAGTTTGTTACATTGATATAATCCTATATAACAACTGATTTCCGTAGGCCTGGCTCATTCAGTCATTTAAAGTATGAATGATGATTTCACAATATACATACATTTTCTTGCTATAAATGCTATTCCACAAATAACAAGATGTCCAAGTTGCTTGAATTCAGGATCTGTCCTTCTCTTTTCAATATATTTTTGGTGAAGTAGTGGATGCAAAAAACTAATGAACCTCTCACACATTTGTGGTGGATTGCTTGTCATCTAGAAAGAAAATTAAATCAAAATACTAATTAGTAATATTCAGCCAGCTACCCTTGAAAATTGAATTATGATTAATGTTTAAACACTTCTCTCTTACCTTTGTTAAGATTCCCAGAATAACAACATATTGGTCGGCAACAGTCCCACTACTTCCAATCTTCCCGAGTGAAATATCATGTCCCGAGGATGTAAAAGAATCGTCCAAACTTTGAAAAATATCCTTTAAATGTGGCCCATACTTTAACTTCCCCAAAGTTCCAACCAAAGCCAAACCTCCCTGAACCATTTGGTAATCTAATGGTTCTTCCTTTTTTATTCCTTTTCTAGAAATAGCAGTTTTCCATACTTTTTCTATTGTTTCGCAACTCTTATTAATGTTGTTAAACATCGCTTTTTTTACTTTCCTGTAGCAGCAGTGGAGCATTACAGCTATCGCACAACTTCGAAGCACAGTTGGAACTGTCATCACAATCTTTTGAAGAGAATCTTCATCTTGAGAATTTTGCAAAAATTGTGCAATGTTTTTTAGACACATTTGAATGACTTCCACCGAATATTCATTAAGATCTATCTCCATTAATAATTTTTGAAGAGATCTCAAAACACAATTCTGAAATTTACTTTCGTCAATAGAAAGCAGCGTTAAGAGCGATGTAATGTCTTTGGATTTCTGAAGTTTTGGAACTAACTGTGTCTCTGCAAATCTCAGGAAGTCTTTTTCTGTTGCTCCCCGATTGTTTTCCAGAAAGGAAATAAAGCCATCGGCGGTCAAATATTTGATGTTTCCTACAAAGTTTATGTTGATTAAGTGTGATTAATGAATAAGAAAAATTATTCTTTTGCGTTTAAATGCCTATGAATTCAACTTATTGTTCGCTTACTAATATTCTAGAATATTGCATGTTATAGTTGGTTACATCACCATTTTCTTTGAAGATCAGACTTTGTAATATCTGTGGTTCTGGTTTGTCCGTTTGTCTGCAAGTCTCTACACTGACAAACGGATCTTCTATCTGAGGATACTCGTACGCGTTGTCATAATATTTATTGTTATCAGCCATTATGCTTTCTTCTAGTTATCTGCAATTAAGAAAATCAACAATCCATTTATACCTGGATGATGTAAACTCTCCCCTACAATCACCACATTTTTGTCCCCCGCTTTCAGTGGAACTGAAGAAATAAATTTCGGTCTTTTGTCAGTTCGTCCCACAGGCCTTCAGATCGCTTTGATCTGACCGACATGTATATATACCGACATGTATATAAAATATACATGTCGGTCAGATCAAAGCGATCTGAAGGCCTGTGGTTCGTCCATCAGTCCGTCTGTATTTCTTGTTTAAGATCTTTTGCAATGAAATATTACACAATTCCCTATTGATTTTGAGGTCAAAAGGTCAAAGGCCAATAATTCTGTTTATAACTTTCGTTTCCGCAAAATATCTCGAGAATACCGTTGACCTTTAACAGTGAAATTTTATATCACAACTCCCTATGACCAATAGATGACTCCTATTAATTTGAGGTCAAAATGTCAAAGGTCAGCGTCGTCATTCATACATTCTGTGTGTAACAGTGTATATATAAAACTTTCAATCCCGGGCGATATCTCCAGAGGCTTTTGAGTTTTTTGCAATTAAATTTACCGTAAATACGTAACTGCCTTTGGCCCCGTCCCATTCTTAAAGTATCTGCACCAACCCCCCCCCCCCCCCCCCCCCCCCGAGTTTCGCACATGCTCTACTTTTTTCATTATACAGGGGACACAGATTCTCTGAATAAGCTTATTCACCTGGTGTAGTTTTCATGGTGGGCTTTTTCTTCGGTAGAAATATATTTTTTGCAGATAAACATGGTATATTAAAATATAGCCGATCATATTACAGTAAACTACGCAGATCTGCAGTGTAGGGTATTCAGATGTATGGGATGTGCAACTTACTTTTCTTTTCGGGGATTTCCCAGTAATTTTCTCAACACAATACGTCAAGCTTTAAGAACCCATGATTTGGATATGTGAGCTTTTGACTTTAACAATGCATAAGATCAGAGATGTTTTCTTTTTGTGTCTGCTCCGCTCACTCAGGTAGAACACACTGCCATACGCTCAAATATGGAATGTATACCGATTGTTCCATCTATACATGTATTAAAAAAACACGTTTAATTACGTTAGATAAACCTTTCCTCAGGTCATCCAGACACTGTTAATCTGTGTCAAAATTTAAAGTGACGTGATTGCATATAAAAAAAACCCAGTATCTTTCGTTAGAAAATAATTAAAACATACTACTAGCAAGCAGTTGTATGTTTTTCCTGAATCAAATCTTCATGATGTTTTAAGCCGAAAGCAATGAATTCAAATCCAACCCTTCGTCCACACAGGACCAGAGGGAGAAGGATTTTGTATTAATTAATCTTATTTCTACATTAACACTGCTTAATGAACAAATGCATGTAGTGTTACTCAAGATCCCTTCAAAAATAACTGCAGAATCTAGAATTGGGTCCGACTTATGAACTGCCTCGGACTTTTAACCTTCGACTGTCAATCTGTCAAATGTTAATCCGTTGTACGTGCAATGTCTGAGACAGAACTCCAGCTTTATTGTCTGTATTTATATTCCATGTATTTCGCTAACTGCAATAATGTTGTCCTATATCTCCATTTCCTTTTTTTTAAATATCGGAGAAAGCTTAACTATTGTAGCTAATATCTTTGAGGCGCTTTAGGTCAAATTTATTTCCAGTTAAAAATAAGCTTTTCGCAAATTCTACGATGTTTACAAGACCTTTTTGTTAATACGACCTAAGGTTGTGTCCGTTTTATACCATTTGTCAGATCATAGCATTTATACTGTTTCACAATTCATAGAAGTCATAAACCGGTCAACAGAAGATGCTTACCTCTAGTCTCGTGATCCAAGTCTGGTGTTTCAGTATTTCGTGTTTTTTTTTCAGTTCGTGATTCGTTTTGTTTACTGGATTTATATAACTGATCATTGTGTGTTACTTTTCCTCTGAAAATATCTCCTTTCCTTCTAAAATCGTAGGAGAAGATGAAAATTACAACATATATTTCGCCAAGTGCCTACGATGTAGTATCGTAAGAGGGGGCATGAAAGCAGATAGCTCAGTTCTAGGAATTTGAAATGATAAACGTAATAGGAAGTCTTATTCACGTTGTGATCCCAAGCACAGCTAAATTAAAAGTTTCGATTTCACCAAACAGCATTTTAAACAGTTTCTTTTTTCAAAGGAAGTTCTGAGATTTTTAAATTTTTTTTTAACGTATACTTTTCTATCGAAACATACACGGTGTTTAGACCCATTTACATTTTCGAAGGCGTGGACAGGTTATGAGCTTAGAAAGGATCCGTACAAACACAGCCTTCTCTTATGCATCAAATTCTTTTGCATGAAACATACGGAATTAACGAACAGTATTCAAGATCAAAATTCCATAAAAATACAAAATAAAAACAGGAGCAGAGCAGACTTCCAAAACATCAGAGGTGGGATCAGGAGCCGAGGAGGAGTGAGCATCCCCTACTGTGTATAAATAATGGACTAACAATCAAATGATAAACGTCATTCAGTATTTGACTCAATGATAAATTGTATTTGCTAAGAAGGTCATTGACCATAGAACTTACGAAATGAGGAATTTGAACGAGACTGATGATATTCCCGTTTCTTCAACTTGTTTGTCAATAATATGCCTCGTTTTAGAAATTGTTAGAAATTACGTACAGCATGCTCTTGCGTATCGAATCAACTGAGATATATAAACACCGTATGCTGGTGATGAAGGTATATTCTACATCAGTAAGGGAAGTTTATGATTGAAAAGTTAAAGATGTCACGTTTATCATCGAGCTTGGTTGTTAGATTACCATTAACGTCTTTTTCAAGTAAATTATCCAAGTATAGAACAGATGTGTCTGACTCTGTGGTATCTTCTGTCTCAAGCTCACCAGGATATATCGTTTTGACATAAGAAGGGAAATAACCATTGTGAATGGACAATACGTCGTCGATATATCTAAATGTCGAGTTGAAGGCCATGTGCAGCAAGTGTTTTCTTCTTTTCACTTTTCACGTATAAGGTTTTGGGCAAATTCTGCTTCATTATACCCCAAGCAACAAGTTGCGTGAGGTATAATGTTTTTGACCAGTTCGTCAGTCAGTGTGTCAGTCAGTCCTGTTTATTTTTGTCAGCGCAACTTCTCATAAACTTCTGCCCAGAATTTCGTCAAACTTAGCACATATTTAGGACACAATGCGTAGATGGGAATATTACCAGGAAAATCTGATTCCTTTATTTTTTGGAATTTCGGAACTTTTTAATTAGATTTTTTGGCCTTTAAATAACTGGAACTTGTGATATATGAAGGATGGCAGTCAAACCCAGCAGGAAACTGACACCCAGATATTTAGCATTCTTTACCCTAGAAAAGTATGTAGAGTTATGCCCGCACCCTCTACCAGACAGGAAAATTGGCTCAAGTCTTAAAAGAAATGGACAGGTATAACATCTAAATGCTAGGTATGTGTGAAACTAAATGAACAGGAAAAGGTACTCATAAACTTCCCACTGTACTCGGAAAGAAACACCGAACAGCACAGCAGTGGAGTAGGCTTAGTACTCAGCAGGAACCTAGGTGAGTGCATGTTAGGTAGGAAATCATACAACGAAAGACTTCTTCTGCAAAATGTTATTAATAAGCTAAACTGACGGTTGTAGTCTGCTACTCACCTATAGAAGACAAAGAAGAAGAGTTCTTTTTGTAAAGAACTGTATAAAGCTTTAGAGGCAACACCAGTTCATGATGTACTCATCATATTTGGTGATCTCAATGCAAAAGTTGGTACCAACAATAAAGGAAAAGAATCTAATCTATAATGGGAAAACATGGTTGTGGTGTGATTAACAACAATGGTAGAAGACTATTAGATTTCTGCCTAGAAAATAAGTTAGTTATTGGAGGCACCATCTTCCAGCACAAGAACATCCATACGCTAACATGGACTTCACCAGATGGTCACACACAGAACCAAATTAACAATGTTCTGATAAATAAAACGTGGAGAGGAACATTGCAGGTTGTAAGTGCATTGAGAGGGGCTGATGTAGGAAGTGATCACATGATTGTCCTAGTAAAGCTGAAATTGAAATTCAAAATGATAAAGAACTTAGGGAAACAACGGTCACCTCAAGTAGATGTAAGCAAACTCAA